CCACAGTTGTCTGAGCCCCAGTAGCATTTACTGCTCATTGGCACCAACCCTTTGCTACCTTGTGCTGGTAGCTTATTTTATTGCACATTCCTCCCTCTCCCCCACACTGGCTGAATTGTATTACTCACTATTCTGCAAACACACCCTGTGCTCTCTTGCTCCTAGCACTTTGCTAACATTGCTCACTGTATCTGGACTGTCCTCCCTCCTACCTCTGCTTGTGGAAGTATTACTCAGTCACTGAGGCCCAAGATCAAATGCTACTCCTTTATCAAACTTTCCTTGATTTTTGTCCCTTCCCCTCCTACCTTCTCCCCGTCTGGAAGCCATTTCCCCCTCCTTGAGACTAATAGACCTTTATTTCGTCTTATGCATTTATGATATTCGAATGTGTGTCATTTATCTCTGTATGTATCTTACTTTCTCCAACTAGATTGTAAGCTCTTGGAGGGTAACAGGGACTGCCATTTATCTTTCTTCATGTCTCTCTTAGTCCAAGATCTTATAAATAGAAGGCACTTAATAGATGTTCACTGAATGCATGAATGAATATTATTTATATTTTTATGAATTTTTCCTGTCTCTCTAACATCCCTTATTTCTACTCTCAAAGCTAATCATCATAGTTCAAGCCCTCATTACCTCTTGCCTGAACTATTTCAATAGCTTCTTAACTTGACTCCCAGTCTCAAGTCTCTCTCCCTCACTCCAGTTCATCTTTCACACAGTTGCCAAAATGCTTTTCCTAAAGGCCAAGTCTGAGTGTGTCAGCTTGCTTCTCTATAAATTACAGTGACTTTAGGATTCCTAAAAGCAGCTATATGCTAGTAAATGTTTAACAACCAGCTCTCCAAAAAAAGGTGCATGACATACTTTTAAGTTTAATCCGCATTATTTGACATTTTCTCCATTGCTTTCTTAATTCTAGAAAACCAACAAAACAGTAAATCACACCCTTATTTGTAGCATTTGCCCATTTCAGAGATATAAGTGCTTACACTGAAAATTTAACAATTGGCTCTCATGAGCCTGTTTGAGCTACCTCCAGCATACCCTTGTCTAAAAGTCTCTCTTACCTCTAGGTTCAAATATAATCTCCTTGGTCTGACATTTAAAGCTCTTCGCAACCTGGCCCCATCCCACCTCTCCACTCTTTTTATACATTACTCCCTTCTGGGTACAGTTCAGTCACACAGGCCTATTCCATGTTCTGCACACAACACACTCGACTTCCCAGTTCAATCCCATGCCTTGGGCCTGGAAGGCTCTTCTTCCTCGTCTCTTGGAATCCCCTTGTGACCTTGGGCTCATTCACTTTTGTTTTTGCCCAGCACTTGCCTCCAGCTGGACTTGCTTCAATAAATGCTTGTTGATGGACTGAGGGCAGAGAACATACCTTATGCTTCTTTACATTCCCTGTAGTGCCCAGCAGAGTTCTTTGCCTCTGGATGATACTTAATGAGTGTTTTTTGATGCTCAGGATGATTCTTTCTTCTCCTTGATTCAAATCTTGCCCATCTCTTTTTGGGCTTAGCTCAAGTCCCACATCTTCCCCAACTACTAGGCCTTCCTACCATATTAGTTTTGTGCCCTGGTGAAAATTACTTAACCTCTTCCAACCTCATCTACTTTGAACCAGATGTTCTTTTGAAATTCCTTCCTGCCCCAAGATCCATAAGTCCATAGCCTAGGTACAGTGATCTTCTCCAGCCTTTGAATTCCTATAGCACTTGTGAGCCAAACTAATAGTCAAGAATAATAATAAACATTTATTAAGCACCTACTACTACCACTGCACCACCTAGCTGCCTGTGATAGTGTCTCAGAAGTACGATAATTCTTAATTACCCTAAAACCAAATAGCCACTTTGGGGATAGTGTGTGCTCCTTGGGGATGCTTATCCCATCTTCTGACCTTTGACTAGGCATCAGAAGGTGGTATGTTCATGAGAAGAGTCAAAACGCAACAATTTTATTGCTGAGTGGTAAAGACTAGATAGGTTTGGAGGTTGAGTTATTTAATTATCCCTGCTCTTCTTCAGGCCTAGTAACACAGATAAATGAGATTTGGCCAGCCCAGACAATGCATTATCTTCACAGCCACTGTGCTAAGTACTAGGGACTCAACAGAAAAAGAAAGATAATCCCTGTCTTCAAGGAGTTTATAATCTAACAGAGGCAGGCAGTACACAAAGGAAAGCTGAGGGGCAGCTAGGTGAGTACCAGCCCTGGAGTCAGGAGGACCTTAGTTCAAATCTGGATTTAGATGCATAACACTCACTAGCTGTGTGACTTTAGCGGTGTGACCCTAGGCAAGTGGCTTAACCTTGATTGCCTCATCAAAACAAAACAAACAAAACAAACAAACAAAAAACAAAGCAAAGCTGAAAAAAGTGGGGTGGGTGGGAAGGAAAGTGTTGGTAGGAAATAAGGACTTTATCTGCCCTCTGTTTCCTCTCTAAATGGAGGTTCATGGCTTCACCCCTCAATCAAAGGGGGCAGAGGGTATGGAGGGGGTGTGAATACCAAGCCTGATTGGGTCTTGCAGGGTGATCAGATTTCCCAAGATAAGGTTCCTGTAGACATGTTAAAGAAGTCAAAGCAGTCCAAAATGAATACAGCTGGGGTGGGACTTAACGAGTTTAAGAAACTGTTCTCTTACTTCACATATGCCTGATCTTTTGAGGATGCAGACCTAGCAGTGACATTAATAGATGCTTATTAAATTTGTTGAATAAATGAGTGAATGAATGAATTTTATCTTGTAGCTTTGGTTTTTGCCTTGAGGGAAAATTGTTTTCCAGAATAGAGGTGTTAAACATGCAGCCAGAGGGCCAAAGCAGTTATAATACTCCTGAGTGTGGCTGATTAAAATGTAACTGGGAAATATTTAACAATAAATAAAAGTAAAATAAAACATAGATAATGTTACATTTTAAAACTAAGTCAATACAAAGCTGCAGGGCTCCTTATATGCCAATTAGAAGTCCTGTTTCTATTTACATTTGACAACAGTGTTCTAGAGGAACTAGCAATCTATTAATTATGGAATGCTTTGTGTTTTAAATAAAAGAAGACACATTAATGGTGTCTTGGTCATGTTTCTGTCCTGCTGCTGCCACTAATTCTATAGGTGATCCTGGGCAAAGTCATTTATCTCCCTGGAACCTCAGTCTCTACTTCTGTCAAATAGGGATAAAAAATTGTCCGAGTGTATTTCACGGGGCTATAGTGAGGACAAGATGAAATTCAAAAGTGCACCAGAAGAGTTAACCACAAGCTCCATCAGTGTTTAAAATGGTTATTTCCCTGTTTCATAGGGACCCTCATGATTTCATAATAGAGTTACTAGGCTGGCGTAAAGTTGATAGAATCACTAGGGAATTTCTGCCAGGATTTCCCAACTGAGTAAAGCTTTCAGTTGCATCAGAAAACTGTCAATTATTCAAGCCAGTGGAGGGCAGATGTGATGATATCACAAAACACCAAGTTATTAAAAAAGGCCATTTATATCTGGATCCAGAATGTAACCAGAAAACAGCTTTTTTTTCCCTCCCCACCCCCAAATCTTCTCCTTTTACTACTGCAAGCTGCTGAGCTTCAGTGGTTAAGTGAGTGATGTGGTGGTAGAGGGTAAGAGGGTAAGAGGGTGGAGGAGGGGAAGGGGAAATGGAGAGACCCAAGGGAGGAGAGAGTTAAGGAGACAAGCCCCTAGTACATGGATACACGAGAATAGAGAATATGGAAATACGGGCATATGTCCCCCAGGCAGAGATGCCTTAAAGATGCAAAAGCTATTTCATCTAGAAGGCAGTCTCCCATCTTTTAAAGAGCTACAAGGGGTAGGAGAAAGCACACTAGTCCGGGCCTAGCAGAACATCTACTTTGGGGGAGTGGCTCTGCCCCTAAATCATTAATGTGGCAAGTGAAGTCATGTTCCTTTCTCTGGGCCACAATCTCATCTGTAAAAATGAAGGCTTTGCGGCAGCTCAGTCTGTTACATAGAGCCTTGGAACTGGAAAACCTTCATTTGAATTTGTCCACAGACTCTATTATAACAGTGTGACCCTGAACAAAGCACTGGGCCTCATTTCCTTAGCTTTAAAGCGAGGAGGATGAGTCCTTTGGAGCTTTAAATCTGAGTGAAGCCCCAGGGTCCTTTCCAGGACTGAGTTTGTGAGAGCTAGCTTGACGCCTGTTACTAGGACTTTAAATATTCATCTAGTCTAGGGTCTTAAGAGTCCGAGACCTTGTTGTTGTTTGTAAAATAGGTTGGTTTTTGTATTTTAATAGATCTGATTTTCTTTGAAATCCAACATATTTAACTATGCATTTAAAAACATTATTCTGAGAAGAAGTGCCATACACCAGACGGCCAAAGGGTACCAGTAACACACACAAAGTGGTTAAAAATCCTTCATTTTATAAGTGGGGAAACTGAGGCCAGGAGGTGACGAACCAACTCATACAAGCAGGCCGTGCAGACAGATGTAAATTCGGACTAATTCCTCCATCCCGAGTTCTTTCCACTACACCCCAAATAGTAACGAGGGCACTGGAGAAAGGGCACTTTATGAAATGTCCGGACCTCACCCCGGCAGGCAGCTATTCGTGGTCTGAAGCTTCTTAGTTTAGATTCACGCTGTCACTCACGCTCCCAGACTCACACACAGAAATCACAGTGAGCGCAGGGTTTCCATTACGAGCTGCGCTCCAGCTGGCCTCGCACCCCCAGTAACGCGGCTGTGGTGGGCTGAACTCAGCTGGTCGAATCGCGATGGAGCTGGCCAGTCCTCAGCCGGCCCGGGCCACGCGCCCCTCCCTCTCCTCCTGGCTTGCTCCTCCTCCTCCCAGCAGTCCAGCCCTCCTGAGCCAGGCGGATCACGTTCTCCCGGCTAGGGTTGGGTCTCGGAGTTGGGCCCTGATTGCTTGGCTGGAGGCGGAGCCGGCCGGGGATTGGCCGAGGCTTGGCTTTCACGTGAAACCCCGGTGCCTCGAAGACAGATAAGCCGCCGCTTCCCGCAGCGCTCGGCGCTAGTCTGCTCTGAGTGTGTGCGGAGGAGGTTGGCTGACCCAGAAACCCTGGGCGGGGGAGAAAGTCCTGCTGGCTCTTGAAGCTCCTGTGGCTGACTTAGTACCCGATGAGTTGCACCAGGTAAGCCGCCTGCTCGCTTTGCAAGGGCCAAAGCGGAGATGAGGGTTTGGGGTGGGGTGGGATGTAGAGCAAACTGGGGAGAACAGATGGGAGACTTGTGGTTTAGGGATGTGAAACCACTAAGAGAGCTGAATATGTGTGTGTATACATACATGTACGCACATGCGTATATACACATGTGTATACATATATACACGCAGGTATACATATGTAGGTATATACGTGTGTATGTATATCTATCTATATTAACATATATGCACACACACATACATATATTACATTTTTACATCTGGCTTCCTGGAGATCAGCAGGGTTTTAGGATGCTGTCTCATGTCGTCGTTCCCCCCCCCCCCCCAAGTCTTCTTTTGCTTTCCGGCTCATCTTGACTCCAGGTCTACTGCATCCAAGCTGTAGACTTCTGTTAGCAGGCGTGCGTTTTGATTTCAGATTCCTCCCTTTCTTGCAACTTCTCCCTTCCCACAACCTCCAAAACAAAAATGTAGCCTACGACAACTTTGCTTAACTTTATACCTTGGAGGAGAAAAAAAAGAGCTTGGCCCCGTTTTGGGAGATGATGCCTTAAAAAGTCAGTTAACTGTATTCGAAATAGCTTTTCTCTCTCGGTTAAAGCTTAACCCAGTGTGCTTCGGCAGTCAGAGCTGGGGCCCTCCAAATCTGAGTAAACTATTGTTTTTTAACTCTTGGAAATAATCTAGAATGGGGATTGGGAGAGGGATGTGTGTGACAAGACAGAGCGCTAAAGCTGCCACATAGATGCATTAAGAGGAAAAAAAGCTGAGTAACCATGCCAAAGATGACTTGGCAAAAGGTTTCTTTAAAAATTCAGACTTTGCTGTGAGGAGTCTCAGTTCTTGGGACAGGAGGCCACAAATGAGATCTTAGCTTATTTTTGGCCCTCTATATCTACTTGTCTGCCACCTTTACAAATAGCAACACTTATACCCTAGAATTAGAATGTGATGTCTTAAGGCTCATCTAGGGACCCCTGCCCCACCCCTCCCCCGGCAATGAGATGATGGAGACCAGAGAGGCAACTAAAAAATGATGGTTACTTGGCAGTAGTAAAGAATATTCATTGCACTTGTTTTATTAACTTCAGGTGAAGAAATAGCCTTGGAGTCAGGATGATGTGGGTTCAAGTCACCTCTGATACATTGGCTATGTGGCATTGATAGTTTTTTCCTCAAGGGTTCCCTGCATTCATGAAATCACAAGTCCAGGCCTCCTAAGCTTCCTCCTACCCTCTAAAACTTTAGCTACTGATCCAAGCAATAGTCGCTTAACAAAACTTGATTGGTAAATTCAGCACATGATATAAATGCTATCATTTACAAGACTAGGGGTGGAGAAAAAAAATTAATGATTTCTTGTGATTCATCCAACAAGCATTTAGCACCTACTGTGTGCAATACTCTGCCAGGTGCTGCTTGGGCTAGACACCAAATTTAGGCTACTAGTAATATGTGAAAGTGACTAAAGAGCTGAAAAAAAGAAGGGGGAGGGAGAGGAGGAGGGAGCTTGCAGGAGGTCAGTGATTTCCAGTACAGCTAGTGTGGGAGCCTTCAAAACTCTTCATGAGATTTGGTAGCATGTTTTTCAGCTTGATGATAGGGCAGATTCTCAATTATTTGTGGGAAATAGAGAAAGAATGTACAATAAAACATACAGATACTCTTCAAACCTCATTTATATAACAATTGCAAGCTCCCTCATAAACTTATAACAGAGCCCTCAGTATGGTTTTCTGTCCTTGCCTTGCACCTTACTTAAGATCTAATCAAACAGAGGAATGTCTAGAAGGTAAACAGCAAGGAGCAATAAACCAAGATGACTTTATTAAGTGTCTTACTCTGGGTCATGTATACTGCTGGGGGACAGAGACCAAAACAAAAACGGTTTGGGTAATTCAGAATGTGGTGAGTGGCTCCCTAAAAGAGACAATTGTAGATTGTAAGAGGAAGAAGGGGCCTTAGGGATCATTTAGGCTAACCCTCTGGTTTTGCAGAGGAAACTGAGGTCTGGAGAAAGGAAATGACAACTTAAATCATTCAGGTACCTTTCTGGGTCCGGGACCCAGATCATATGATTCCTGCTGTGGTCCCTAATAGTAATTGGATAGCCTGTATCATCCTCTCTCATCCTCCCCTCCCCCACTGAATCTGGACCTATGATTTCACTGGTGTAGGAAACTTGCCACCAATGGCAATCAGAAACTTTTCTGTAACTTAGAATCTCAGTTGACTGAAGCACTAAGAGGTTAGATGATTTTTCATTGATTACAAAAAATAGCATATATCTGACTGGGCTCATTCATTTTTCATGTATGTGTTATTTCCCTTTGTGGACTGTGACAGGTGGGGAACCTGGGGCCTTGAGACCACATGTGACCCTTGAGGGCTTCACTCGAGGACCTAAAGGGCCATATATGTGGCCTTGAGGCCCCAGGTTCCCCATCCCAGGACTGTGAACTACTTGAGGGCAGGAACTTGTACATTTTTGTCTTTGTAGCCCCAGCTCCTAGTAGACTGCCTGACAAGACCCTTAATAGATATTTATTGATTGACTTTAGCTCTTCCTGAGCCCAAGGCTGCATCCCTGTCCACTATGCCACCCCTTTCAGTTATACAGATAACAAGTATGTATTTGAGACTGGGAAGGGAAGATTCTTAGAAGGGTAGCAAACAAAAGAAATAATTCCATTTCCTTTCTTTCATTTCAGAATGATTCAGGTTTTAGATCCCAGGCCTCTGACAAGTTCAGTCATGCCAGTGGATGTGGCCATGAGAATCTGCCTTGCTCATTCACCACCTCTGAAGAGTTTCCTGGACCCTTACGATGAATTCCAGCGAAGAAATTTTATTAACAGGTTAAAACCTCTTAAACCATGTCTCAATATCAAGCAGGAAGCAAAAACACAAAATGACTGGAAGCGTTCTCCCAGCCGGACCAAGAAAAGAGTTGTGTTTGCAGACTCCAAGGGCCTGTCTCTCACTGCAATCCATGTCTTCTCGGAATTCCAAGAGGAGCCTGTGTGGGATCTTCAGTTCGACTTGTTGGACCTGGGAGACATCACAGCCGGCCTCAAGCTTCATGAAGAGAAAAACTTGATTTTAGATTTCCCTCAACCATCAACTGACTACTTGAGTTTCCGGAACCATCTTCAGAAGAACTTGGTCTGCCTGGAGAACTGTTCTCTGCAAGAGAGAATTTTGACGGGAACAGTGAAAGTAAAAAATGTGAATTTTGAGAAGAAAGTCCAGGTCCGCATCACCTTTGACACATGGAAGACCTATACTGATGTGGACTGTACCTATATGAAAAATGTCTATGGAGGCTCTGATACTGACACATTTTCCTTTTCTATTGACTTGCCTCTTGTCATTCCAACTCAGGAGAAAATTGAGTTCTGCATTTCCTATAACAGCAGCGGACAGGTATTCTGGGATAATAATGATGGTCAGAATTACAAAATTGTCCACGTGCAGTTTAAGCCAGATGGGGTGCAGACGCAGACAGCCTCCCAGGACTGTACATTCCGCCAGACACCAAATAAAGCCGAACTTGATTCACCGCTCTTTGGAAGCCCGAGGCTAGCTAGTGAGCTCTTTCCTGAATGGCAGAGCTGGGGGAGAATGGAAAACTTGGCCTCATATAGATGAATTGAGTTGCCAAGCTACCACATTTGGCTAGCTATGCTAATCATAGGAAGCTTTGGCTGTGGTCCTTTGATAGGTTTGGGTGTTTGATACCCTAACTAGAAAGCAAATGACCCTCAATTTGGTGCTCAAGTTGGAAGGGATTATTTGGAAGACAATGGTCCATTAAGCCTCAGTTCTGTGTTATAAATAATGTGTGTATATATAATATTTTTATCCATGCACTTTCTTGATCACTAGCTTTTATCTTGGGCAAGAAAGCTATGAGGAAGTATACACGATGGAGACAGGAAGCTGTGTTAATGGTGTGAGGTATGTCTGAAGAGGGTTCACAAGATGGAGTTCATGTACTGTGATGAGTTGGGAGAAAGATATATTTGTATGTTGATGAAGAAATGTAAGCTTACTGTGTGATATTTGGGTAGGTTATATAATCCTCTTCTGGAAGATTAATACACAGAAGGGGAAGATGCCCTGTAAATATGCTTGAGAAAAGGGGCATGCTCTCATGGAGCTGCATCTAACGTTATGGGACACCAATGTGGCTGAAAAAGTGAGTGAAAGCTCTAGAGCATAGCTGTCAATTAAGCCATTTCTCAGAACAGAAAGGATGGCCTAATCCAAAACAATGACTTGTGGAAAGTTTAAATAAATCAAGATTTGTAATCCTGCTGTTTTAAGTAGGAGAGGTGACCTCATTTGTAATGGCCGCCATGTTGGTGTTCTTCGTTGTAGATGGCTAATACTAAACCTTGCCATTTCCTATTAACGCCCACTTAGACTCTCTTACACAAGTAGAACCCCAATACCTTGTAAGTGCCTTAATCAGTACTTTAGTTGCTTAACCCAAATATTCAAATGACCATTTACTAAGTCCTGAATGTTTGTATGCTTTAGAAGTCTGCCCTGCAGACTGTTTGCTTTGCAGTACTGACTGTCTTTGATATTGGTGTCTGTGTATATAACTAGCATCCTTCATATTGAAGGTGACTTATCTTTCAGCTGTACTTTGAATGTGATCTTTGAAAAGAGGAGTCTCTATAAGAATCCAGCACCTTAAAACACATGCGATTAGGGACCTCTCTTGCCCTGTTTCTTTAAGCAGAAATATTTCTCTTCTGTTTTATAGATGTGAGAATTGTCTCGGTCATACTGTAATACTTGTTCTCTGGTGTATATAAATCCATTCTGTAAAATAGATATCAACTGAGTGTACACTAGTCCTTTGTGTTGGTAAAGTAGCGTGATGTACATATCTTTCAAGTAATAAGAGTGAACCACTTGGTCACTTTTAAGGAACATATTTGGCCATGCTGACAAAATACTAATTTGGAATACTTTTGCAGTGAAGTTATTTGAGGTTTGCTAGCACTGAAAACTTTTCTACTGTCAATATTTCAGTCTACTGTAGCTATTTTATGTGAGCTTGTCACTTTAAGAATAAATTGTTTAATAAAAGAACAGATTCATTTTTTCTTTTTCACTCCTTCCTACACCATTTATAGCCGCAAATGTAAAATCGGTTTCATGGGATCTGTTACACTTAATTAAGAGAAGATAAAAGGTTGAGATCCAGTACGTGTTCACAATTTTGCCATCCTATGATGAAATGTGTTCCCCATCACTTTCAGATCTTCACCACCTCCTCGCCCTAAGAGTTCAGGCTTGAGTGTGTCTCCCAATTTCTGGTCAGGTATTCAAGAAGCATTTCAGCACCAACCGTGTGCCAGACATGGTGCTGGGGAACAAAGAAAAATAGTTTCTGCCCTCAAAAGATTTGATGTTTTATGGGCGTGGGGAATGTGCAGAAAAGTAAATGCCAGATACAAAGTGATTTCGGGAGTCGGGATGTTGGGTGGGAAGCGAGGGAGTGGCATAGGTTTCTTTACAACTTAAAATTGGAAAGGGAAGCGGGAGGCTTGGCTCTCCTGTTGACATCCAAGATTACCCTGTGTGTGGAGTTTAGGGGAAGAAAACTTGTGGTATCAGTGAATGGTAAGGCAGGATGAGCAGAGCAGACTGAGGAGTGAAAAGCATCAGTGCATCAGAAAAAGCCGGTGTCAGAAAACTTGCTGGAATATCTGATGCTAATGAAAATTCTAGCAAGTCCAGGCACTTGTGGAAGAACATATACACATATGAGAGGAAAAGATTCTATTTTCTGCAAAAGCCAAAATAACCAAGATGCTTGTTAAAGAATGGGAGTGATCTTGGCTTATTCTGCCTGGGACCAATCTCTGTGGAGTGTCTATTCCAGCTCACCCTTCTGTATGCCAGTCTGTTTCCCTGACGTGCAGACGTGTGGCCAGCTCATCTCTGCCTCCTGGGTGACGCCAGGGTTTTTTTGTTTTTTCCTCATACTGCATGTGATCAAGAGAGGTGGATAGAGGCCTTGACTAAAAGCCAAGAAACACAAATGTGAATTGGGGCAGTGTGGTAGAAAGAGCCCTGAATTTGGACTTGAAGGACCAGGCTTAAATCCTAGCTATGATCCTCTTTCTAGCTGCACGACTTTGGGCCAGTCACTGGACTCCTTTGGGCTTCACTTTCTTCATCTATAAAACCGAGGAGGTTAGATTAGATGATCTCTGAGGTTTAGAAGTCTTACTGCCTGAAATTTAAGCTCTGTTCATTAATCTTGTACAGTAAGATCTTGTACTGTTAGGTTTACTTCTGGGATTAGTTTGTGGTTTGGATTTTGTTTCCAGTTTTTCCAATGAGAATATCAGCTCTTGAGAACAAAAAAGAGAAGTCTTGCTTTTCTGTCTGTATCACTATCACATAGACCTTGATAAATGCTCTTTTATTCATTTGTTTTTTCTCAGTTGTTCATTGAAACAAAATGTTTGATCTGGTCATTCCAGGAAGAACTCTATTTTGTTTGCAGAAATTATTACCCTTTCCAATTTCAAGCAAAACTAGGTGTCTGGGGGTGGGTGGGGTACTTTGTGTGGTTGGTGAGCTACTGGGCTCTGCTGACTTTCACCTGAATGCTCAGAAGTGGAAGGTGAGTCCAGGTTCTTCTAGAGCTTAGATCTAGATCCTTACCCTTAGCTCCTATCTCCCTGAATGTCTGAGTTGAAAGGGCCATATAGTCTGACCCATACATGAACAATATGGCTTTCTACAGTATCTTGTGGTAAAATGGTGAGAGCGCTGCCTCTGACATCAGAGGCCCTGTGTTCAGATTCCACCTCTGAAGCTAACAACTTCTGCAACCTTGAATAAGTCAGTTATCCTCTTTGGGCCTACAAAATAAGAAGGTTGGACTAGATGGCCTTGGTAGCCCCTTCTCACTGTGGATCTATGAGCCTGTGATTCTCAACAACTTCAATTTTAAGACCAACAGCTAGGTGGTACCTGATCTCTCTGGAGGTAGTCCATTCCACTCTTAGATTGCTCTAGTTGTGTTGGGCCTCAAGTCAGGAAGTATTATCTTCTTGAGTTCAAATCTGACCTCAGACAATGACTAGCTGTGTGACCCTGGGCAAGTCACTTAAGCCTATTTGCCTCAGTTTCTTCATCAAAATGACCTGGAGAGGAAAATGGTGAACCACTCCAGTATCTTTGCCAGGAAAACCCCAAATGAAGTCACGAAGAATCAGACATGATTGAATCAATTGAACAACAGCAATTGTTAAGTTTTGCCTTAAGTCTAGCCTAAATCTGCCTCTGTCTATGTACATCAGTGCTTCTGGTTCTGTTCTCTGGGTCGATGTAGAACAGTCTTTCAGAAACTTGAAGATGCTGTCTTGCTGTTCCCTCTTTCCCAGCTCTTCTTTTCTTCATGCTAACTGCTTCTAGTTTCTTGGGTCAATCTTCGTCCAGCAGCTCTTGGTCTCGATCTTTTCAAGCTTGCTAGTTAGTTGTCCCCTTCTGAATGTGCCTCGGATGCCACATACAATTTTTTTTTTTGTTTTCTGGTAATAGATGACCATCAGGGTCTGCTCTTCCATGCATAAGGTCAACCCTCCCCCGGCATGCTAGCCCTTTCCTTTCCCTGTTGCTAGGTAACTGGCACATTCAGGTAGCTGGATGCTTGGTGAATTCTCCCAGCGTGGTTGTGCGTCATGATCCCTTGGGAGCTTGCTATTCCTAGTCTAGGATGTCATCTGACCATTGTTGTTCTTCCCTTCCACAGTAACCCCATCATTACCCCAGACTTTTAGGCAGTGAGTATTTGAATAAATAAAAGCCTGCTTTACTTAGAGGATCATAGATCTAGAGCCCTGGAGGTCATCGAGATCAATGACCTTTTCATTTAACAGATAAGGAAGGAAACAGAGACCCCCACAGGCTGAATGATTCATCCAAGGTTACATGAGTAGTAAATAGCTAAGCTGGGATTTGAACTCGAGTGCTTGGCCTCCCACTTCAGTATTCTTCCCCCTGGCCCGTGCTGATTCTAGATGCTAAAAGTTCTTCTAAGTCATGCAAAGGGACTCATGTTAGGCGTCTCACTTGTTTGGGCAGTGGTAGTCCCCAAATAAGGGATCATTTTTAGGTTCTAAATTAGAAATTCTAAACCAGTGTAAGAGACTACAGGAAACCAGATACAGCTTGGCCTAAAGGATGTACTTGCTTCTGGAGAAGAGAATATTCAGGGAGGACATGAGAGCTATCCTCAAGTATTTGAAGTGCTGTCATGGGGAGGAAGGGTCAGGCTATTCTATTTAGCCGTAGAGGGGCAGAACCGGATGCAAAACGTGGAAACTGCAAAAGGGTAAATGTCATCTTGTTATGAGAATAAGCTTCCTATCAGTTTGATCTCAGAAAAAGAGGAAGTGGAGTGACCTGCCTCTTTGGAGGGGTTGGATTGCTTGTGGTTGGGATGTGCTCAAACTGGCTTAGTGAGACTCTACTGTTACATTTTCAGTGTAAGTTTTTTTTTTGTTTTGTTTCAGTTTGTTTTTTAGGCAATTGGGGTTAAGTGACTTGCCCGGGGTCACACAGCTAGTAAGTGTCAAGTGTTTGGTCTGAGGTTGGATTTGAACGCAGGTCCTCCTGACTTCAGGGCCGGTGCTCTATCTACTGCGCCACCTAGCTGCCCCTCTACATCTTGGAAATCAGCAAAAACACCATAAATCAGGGCTTGATTTGTTTTGTTGATTGTCTAGACTCAAGAAAGTAATGGAGAGAATAATAATGCAGATTGAATTTAAAAGCGTTAGTGAGTGTGTTTAATTTTTCAGAGTAGTTTGTTAAACACCATCACACCGTGGCTTGTAGGGCATGTTATGGTGGAGATTTCTTTGTATGGAGCTGATGAAGTCCCTTCCAGCTCTCAGATTCTGGTATATATTACAGCGGGATAGCAGGATGACTGGGCTGGGGGCCCGCATGACTGAATATGAGGAAAGCAGATAGTGATGGAGTCCCAGGTCCTTCCTGCTGGTAAAGATAGATGGGGTGGGTGAAGTCAATCAAGGTATCCCTCCCTCCCTCCTTCCTCTCTGTGTTTAGTAGAATGTAAACTCTGAGAGTTGGAACTCTTTCCTTTTTGTCTTTGTTTCCCTAGCTCTTAGTATAGTGCCTGGGGCATGAGAGCTACATACTTAATGTTCATAGAATCGAAAGGAATTGTTGATTTAACTAAGGTCATAATTGAAGAAGGAAACTTTAGATGTTTGACTTTTTCTTTTTTTTTGACCCCAGATTTTACTTTATTTCCCCAAGTGCATGCCAACAACTGTTAAACTTTAAACTAGGTAAGTATAGTGTATGGCATATAACAAATGCTTGAGTGTCTGCCTCACCTTATTCTGCCCCCCCTTCAGATCCTCCCCAGAAATTCGGTATACCTTGCTCATATGTGTGTTTATGCATGTATCTATCCACATATATGTACACACATATACATGGATAAATAGATGCATGTAATGTATATCTACCCACATGCATACACACATGATGTGTGTGCATATACGTATATGTACACACATGTATATATTCATATACACATATATAAAATATATGTATACACACATGCTTCTTTCCAGTTAAAAAAAAACTACACAAAGACTTTTTGAGACACCCTGTATATGTGTAGAAAAGGATTTCTTTATCTAAATGCATGTTAGCCTCATCCCCACTTCCCACAAGAGCAGCCTGGGAAGCAATTTCTCTAAGATTCACGTCTTTGAAATAAAACATGGCCAGTCCCTAAGCAGCTAAACTAATGGTTGGCCAGCTTGACTTAAGTAGTGTTTGGATTTTTGCTTGGATCTCTATTGGTTTTTGCACCTCCATCACAGCTCATACATATATCTCCTTTTCTTGTTCTGTGGGGTCTCAAGAATAGGCTGGGATTCCTGGGTTTTCGGATACCACCACTGAAAACAGCTTTTGTCCAGACCTGGTATGCTGGCTTTTCCTCTTCTCCCAGAGTCCTTTCTTGTTGTCTCCCTCTGATTGAGTTATTAGAAGCTACCTCACTTAGTCTCATGGGAAATGGAGTCCTGGGAAATTT